ATATTTTTTTAGGATTATCTGATGAGTTCAAAAGAACACCATTTGTTTCTAATAAAATGGCATATACAGTTGTGGTCAGAATTAATGGCACCCCTGGTAATTATGATCAAAAAGGGCTGTAAAAAATAAATCTGCATTGTTTATCCTTTTGATCTTTTATTTAAAAAATGTGCAAAAATCGAACCTTTCATTGAAGTAAAATAATTGGGGGGGGGGGGCTTCTGACCCCAAGATTCAAGTAATCTCTGCAATTCTCCATCTGTGATCTTTGGAGAGTCTTTGGCTACTCAAACTTTCCTCCTTGCCATGTATTAAGACAATATAGACACACGTCCTCTTCCTGGCAGATTCGTAACGTCTTTAGTTGATTGGAACTTCTTAATTTTTGCCCTGATGGTGGAAATGGGGATTTTCTATTATTTAGCTATTTTCTTACAGCCACTTTATATTTTGTGATGCTCAACAATCTTTTGCTGCACATCAGAACTATATTCTTTGGTTTTACTCATTGTGATGGATGATTCAGGGAATTTGGCCTTTGTCTTTCCTCATATTTAAACTCCTGTGAAACAAGAAGTCATGGCTGGACAATTTCATGCTCCTAGTCACCCTGGTGTGCTAAAAAAGGTACATATTAATGGGAATATATTTTACTCGTAAAAAATTCTAGGGGTGCCAATAATTGTGACCAACGTGTTTTGGAGAAAAACATTTATTTCATAATTTTTTTACAGCCACGTTTGATCATATTCACCAGGGGTGCCATTAATTCTGACTACAACTGTATATAAATGTCTTTACTATTAATGTTGATCAATGTAATGTGTCCTTATTGAATAAAAGTGCTCATTTATTTTAGCAACAACAAAAAGTCTTACTGACCCCAAACCTTTAAATGTAGTATATGATCCTAAAATGCCATCAGTTTTCGAGATTTTAGTATTTTTTCATTCAAGTAGCAGAACTCTACTTGCCTGCCTAGAAAATATCTGCCTGTGGGTGTTGCCACCAAATCAACTTTTAAAGAGATTATGCAGTCCTGTCTAGGGAAGCACTTTTTAATTTTTTTATATTTGCTGCCCAAAAACACAAGAAAAAATAAGTGTGTAACAGTCATATTGTGTCTAATAGTGAATACATAAATATTTTAAAGTAGCTCAGTCTCCATTGCAGTGACTTCAAGCAAACCACATTTCTTTCACCACAGATCACACTGCTGCATAATGAGCTTCCTGCGGAAGATTTGCTAAGAGAAAACATGTCTGTAAAAATATACATAAATGTGAATGAGAAGGTGATTTCATTTTTCTTTCAAAATGCGCTCTTCTTAAAAGTTTCTCTAAATACGCCAATACGAGCCTGATGTGCACCTGTCTTTAGTCAGTTTTGTAAATAAATGCATAAATAACTGCATTCAGTTTCATTTTTGAATGCGGCACGGTTGTATATTACTGTCCTTTTGGTAGCTCCACAAGTAACATTATAGGTGTTGTGCCTTTTTGCCCCACATAGTGGTGCTACAGACTTAAGTAATTTGGTGATGCTGGGTACACGCGCTGAACATTTCCACTTATCCATTGATTAAAGGGATAGTTCACCCAAAACAAATTTATTCACCCTCAAGTTGTTCCAAACCATGTAGGAATTTCTTTCTTCTGCTGAATACAAAAGAAGATCTTTTGAAGAATATGGGTAACCAAACAGGCCTGGCTAGGGCCCCATTGACTTCCATAGTATGGGGAAAAAATACTATGGAAGTCAATGGGGCCCATCAACTGTTTGGTTACTGACACTCTTCAAAATATCTTGTTTTCTGTTCAACAGAAGAAAGAAATTCATTGAGGTTTGGAACAACTTGAGGGTGAGTTTCAGTTTTGGGTGAACCAACACTTTAATAACACATGCGCATTAATGCTTTATGGGCTCACTGGCTGTTTGGCCACAAAAGGGTTTACACCTCGTTTGAGTGCGTTTGTGTATTATTCATGCATATTTAGTTGTGTTATGTACTTTTGTTATGTTGGGCTTTCAATAATGTAAAGAGATAGAAAAGAAAATTCTGTCATCATTTACTCATTTCATTCCAAACCTATATGACTTTTCTTAGGTCTTACACAAATCTTTTGTTCAGCAGATGAAAGAAAGTCATATAGGTTTGGAACTGAATATAAATTTTCACGTGAACAATACCTTTAAGGCTTGTTTACGTCATTAAAAATCTGTAATACTCGACATCTGTTTAGTCTCTCGTAGTAAAATGGCCACACTTTTAGTGTTAATCATTTTAGTACTGTGTTAGGTTGCCACAATGTCCCAGGTAAAATCTGGGTACTGAAGCAAAACCAGTTGCACTAAAGCCTGAACAGGCCAGGCTGCTCATTTTGAGTGTGTTTTTTTTCTCTTTCCCTCTGGCTGCCTCCTCCATTTTCTCTCCCTGCACTGAAATGGCTGTGAAATTCCCCACTTGGGCGAGACTGTCGTCTGTTTTGTCATTTTGTGGCATTGATTTCCTCTCTGCTACATAGAGGAGATCGCTGGCAGAGCAAACCTGAGTGCGGTCGATAGCCCTTTAGAGAGGGTCGGATATGTGTGCTGCACCTCTCCTCTCATAGGAGAGCGTGCGCTTGTGTGGTGTTGTTTGTTTCCCTGTTTGAATTCAATTCATACAATGGAAGTATTCTTCAAAAAATATTTTGTGTTCAGCAAAAGAAATAGTCATACAGCTTTGAACCAACACAAGGGTGAGTAAATGATGACAGAATGTTTTGTTTTGGGTGAACTGTCCCTTACTAGTCGGCCCCAATTTTGGCAAGTGAAGCATTCATGACATACCCAAAATAAAAAGGTTGCTGCTCTTAAGTCATTCTGAATAGACACATAACCAACATATATTTAGAAAGCCAACCCTTGAGAGTTTACATTTCAAGACTCAAAATTAATCAGACTGTTATTAATATTGAGATATATAAGCTCAAACATAAAAACAAAAACAACAAATATTAAGAACATATTTATTAAATGTATAAAAATATTATGTGAATTTAGGATAGCAACTTGAAACCACAACTAAAGTGTAGCCACAATTGTGGTCATGCTTCATTTAAAATCTGAGGATGATATTTCTAAAATTATGCATTTTATTAAGCCTATTGTGAAACCATGTCAGGAGAGAGTTTAGAGAAGTTTTATAGGATGCTAATATAAGATTCTCATCAAATATTTTATTGCCCTGTAAACACCCATTTACAGTCTCTGACTAATGTCTGGCGAGGAGAACTGGCCCATTCATGTTCTTTTCATTTAATCGACCAACCTTTCACACCTATGCCGGTATGAGACTTAATCTTCATTATTCTTTTATCCTTATTCTTTTGTTTGAATTCAGCCATTATAGCCTATATTGGCCATCTAAACCTCTCTGATCCCACCCTACATGATCAATCCATCTATTATATTAAGTCTTGTTAGAAAACAAACAATTCTTGGAACTTTAAATGCGAATTATTATTTTTTTAAATGATTGTATGAAATGGAATAGCTTCTGCAAGCAGGTGCATTAGCACAAGTAGCCTCGAGCTACATGACACAATTTAATGTATTAATATTACACTTTTATTCAAAGTTCACTTTAAAACAACATCTAGTATTTGTATCATATGCCGGTCGCGGATTAAAATGGTTTCAAGTCATGAAAAGATTTTGAAATATGTTATATTTAGCATTTCAGATGAAGCTATGGGCTAGCATTTCCTAGCATATGCATTCTGTAAACATTCTGTATTGATATGAAAACCCCAAATCGCACGAAAATCAAACACAAAACACATAATATTTCAATCGTGCATTTATTAGTTCCTTGTTTCGGGTGAAGAGATGTCAGTTTCGCTTTGTTATCACGGATGTCCAGTATGAGGAAGTGTACAAATGACGCGTCATGCAGAAGAGGTCACGCTGGACCACGTGAGATGATTGACAGCTGTACAGCGAATGATATAGCTTTGAGGTCAAATGTGACGCGATTCAGGAAGAGAAGACACACATCTCGCTCCGTTCGCTGTCTGAGCTCTTTAGATCGCACATTTCAGTGGTAAATGAATAGAAATGTTATTCTTTATGAAGAAATATTTTACTAGCATGTGATAATTATTAATCATTTCTCCAAATATGCGCACCATTGGACTAATAGCCCTGGCGGATGCTGTATATTGTATGTATTTGAACACAAATAAACCGGAGAACACGAGAATTAATGTTTTATGAGTGATGATTTCTATTCAAAATAACGAACATTACAGATGAATTATTTTGCACTCCTGGCATAAATTAAGAAATTAATATCACTGCAAACCAGTTAAATCATAAACAGTGGTCAAACATCGAAGCTGTTGACTTCAACCTTTCTTATGATGCTGAGTTCGTCCAGATCAAGTAAGAGTGAGATGTTTTGACAAGTAATGAATTTTGAACAACACTAATCCGGGATCACCAGTGATCCCTGCCTATCAAGGGGTTAATAGATGTGTAAGTATAGACTTTATTGAGCTTTATACAGCAGATCAGTGCTTGTCCTTTCCATACATACGTCCACTGTTCCACAGTAAGCATCAGTTAGCCACTACAGGAAAATCAGCCTCCATAGCCTCTGTTCTGGGAACTCATTATTAGGTAAACGCCTTTCTGTGGTTCTGAGGTAATTAAAGTACCAGTGAAACGATTTGTGAGGTTTGTCTCTGCTTCACTTGCACTAATGCTTGTTGTTTTGTCAATATCATCCACAGGTAATGTCCTACAGTACCTAATATTAGTTGGATGTAATACACTTACTGACCAGGTGGTGTCAACAATGTATTTCCTTGTTTGTTTGTTTGTTTTTCTTTTTTTTTTTGTCCTGTATTTTCATCATATTTCCATATTTTTTAACATTTCCCCCTATCAAGAAACACTCACATGCAACATCACACAATGAAACTTAATATAATGTTTAAAAAGTAATGCTAAAAGTAAATAAACTATGTTCTATAAACTGAAAATAGCTTAATTTATAATGAAATTCATTTTTTTTTATAGGTTGCATAACACACTTTCGTTTACTGTTCTATTATCCTGATCCTGTAGGTGTGTGCTAGAGGAATGTAACATGGTCTTGTTAGAAGACAGCAGTGTTTACTTTTGGACAAATCATCTCAGCTTGCAAAGTTTCTCAGACATACAGTATACCATCCTAGCATAACAAATCGAGAAGACCTACAGAACGGATTTCATTAAGCACTAGTTTCAGATTAAGTTAAAAGAGCAAAATCTACTTCAGTGGGGGGAAAAGGACCTTCGTGCACCACGATGGATCATAACAGCAAGCTTTCTCTGTTAATTCGGCTTGGTTGAAAGTCAGCATTTAGAGTCACCAAAGGGCTAGTCAACGAACAAGCAACCTGGTGGATTGGTGTATACATTATGGATGTGTTGGTGCTTGGCTTCTGCTTGGTGCTAGGACTGCTACACACTACGGAGGGAAAGATTCTCAGACCAGGCAGAGTTCCCCCACATATTGTTTTCGTGATGGTGGATGACCAAGGCTTCAATGACATCGGGTACCATGGCTCAGAGATCCACACGCCCGTGTTGGACCAACTGGCTGGCGAAGGGGTGAAGCTGGAAAACTACTATGTTCAGCCCATCTGTTCCCCCTCACGAAGCCAGCTTATGACTGGACGGTAAGAGACTTACTATTGTTGTTCTAATGCCACTATTATATGCATCCTACTGTGTATGTATGTGTCTGTGTGAATGTCATACCTGAATGCAATGAGACTTCATACTATTAATCATAATCTTAATATTATTACTATTAATATGATCCTATCCTGTTTAATTTAATATTATATTGGATATGCAATATTAGTAGCTGTTCTCTGTTGTGGTTAAACCCAGTGAATGTATTGGTATAAACAAGGGTTCCTCACCTGCAGAGTTTATCTCCAATCCTAATCAAAGACATTAGAGCAAGTTAATCAAGGTCTTCAGAGTTACTAGAAAATTAGGTTGGTCAGTTTGATCATGGTTTTAGCTAAGCTCTGCAGGGCAGTGGCCCTTCAGGGACAGATTTGAGGAACCCTGGTATAGACAGTATTCCTCCATCACAATCACCACCTACCATCTTTTTCTTCAGGTATCAGATTCACACTGGGCTTCAACACTCGATCATCCGTGCACGCCAGCCCCTCTGCCTGCCCCCTGACATACCAACGCTCCCTGAGAGGCTCCAGCAGGCTGGCTACAGCACCCACATGGTAGGGAAATGGCACCTGGGTTTCTGCCGGCCCGAGTGTCTGCCAACAAGCCGTGGATTTCAAAGCTTCCTTGGATCACTGACGGGCAGCGGAGACCATTTTAACTTCCAAAGCTGTGACGGTACAGAGGCCTGTGGGTTCGATCTGCACGATGGAGACCGGCCAGCCTGGGAACTGAGTGGAAATTACTCAACAAGGCTTTACACGGAGAGGTGAGAAACTGCAACCATTTGTGAACCAAATACTTTGCTGCAATGGGTCATGCATGCTTTTGTTGTCATTTGGACTCTTGCAGAGTGAAAGAAATCCTGAGACATCATGACCAGCGGAAGCCCCTGTTTCTATATGTGGCCCTTCAGGCCGTGCACACACCGTTACAAGCTCCTGGGCATCTTCTCAGACGCTACCAGACCCTTGGCAACAGACTTCGGCGCCACTATGCTGCAATGGTGAGCGGCGTAGATGAGTCAGTAGGGGAGATTGTCAGTGAGCTGCGGGGGCGAGGCTACTACAACAACTCTGTGCTCATCTACTCTTCAGACAACGGGGGCCAACCTCTCTCAGGGGGTTGTAATTGGCCCCTGCGTGGTGGCAAAGGCTCCTACTGGGAAGGCGGAGTTCGAGCAGTTGGCTTTGTACACAGCCCACTTTTGAAAAGGAAGGGGGTGGTGAGTCAGGCTCTGATTCATGTTTCCGATTGGTACCCAACCTTGCTGTCTCTTGCAGGAGACAGAGAGTCTGATTCCAGCCACCTGGACGGCCAAGATGTTTGGGGCGCTGTAAGTAGTGGCCTACCCTGTCCACGAACTGAAATCCTCTTCAACATTGACCCAGTGTCACGCAGACATGGAGAAGTTGACCCGAGACTCCTAACTCTTAATGGTTTTGGGATCTGGGATACAGGAGTGCGTGCAGCCATTCGAGTTGGTGACTGGAAACTTCTGACAGGAAACGTAGGCGATGGAGACTGGTTCCCTCCACAGACGATGCCAGGAGGTCCGCAACAGTGGCAGGGCATGGAAAAGAGACGAGACCAGCGGGGGAAGTCTGTCTATCTTTTCAACGTCACTGCTGATCCCTACGAGAGGGCAGATTTGGCAGAGGCACGGCCTGAGGTGGTCAAAATGCTCTTGACCCGGCTTGCCGAGTACAACCGGACTGCTGTCTCCCCACGCAATCCACCAGACGACCCGATGGCGGACCCGCAACTTCATGGAGGGGTGTGGACTCCTTGGCTAGGACAGGAAGACGCAGGAGACGAAGGGTATGATGAGGAACCTGACAGCATAAACAGAAAGGCCAGATCCAAGAGTACCTGTAAAGTCTGCAAACTCAGGGCCTTATTTAAAAAGGTTGGTACCCGTATGCAAAGGGCCACTTTGTTCTTGTAGTCAAGAGGTAGTTGTGGACAGGATCCACAAAGCTATTTTATTCTGGCAGTCCATTTAACTCATCTTTGCAAGATAATTTGTGGCACACTGGCTGTGTAATATGTGCAGCGATGTTGACATCAGGAACTCTTGATGTCCTGCCTGCATTGTGAACTAAAAATTTTACAACTAAGTTCCCATCTGTAGGATGCAATGGATTTTACTGTAAAGTTCAGATCATCTACTGTTAATGGGGTCCAGACAAGAGCAGAATGAATTTGATCACATGTGACTCCTTAAGCACTTAATGTAGATGTTACTGGATCTTTATCAGATGATCCAGTTATTTGACTACATAAAGTAATGCAAGTAGTGGCAATGATTTAATAGGGAATAATACAGCAGTTAAATTGTTCTTCACTTGTTTGTGGACTAGTGTTCTCTAATCCACCCCCTGGTTCACTTTCTCTCATCTATCTGTTCTTTCTCTGACATGCCTCTGCCTTGCACTCCTCCTCACGCCTCTCTTATTCTCCTACCTTTTGCTTTTATGCTTGTGCTCCATCCAAATCCGCTCTGACATAGCCCACCACAACTAGAATAACACATGATTCTTTATTGTTTCTGCACTTTCTCCTCCACCTGTTTCTTGTCCTCTTGCATTCCTTCTTAGTTTGAGTAGATCAGGTCAGAGCAGATGTAGAAGCAAGCATTTAAGAGCAAGGAAAAGTATTTTCTTGTATGTAAAATGAAGGCCATTTGAGGAGGAGGAGGAGGATCACTCTTGGGTATGAAGGCTGTGTGTCTTTTATACAAGACATTCTTGGCCTGTTCATCTCCTGGTTTCAAGAGATATAATACAATTCACAAGAAGTGATGAAATGTTCTCTGTATTCAATGTAATGTGTATTAAAAAAAAAAAATTACATTATATCTCCTATGTAAATGCTTTTACTCTGTTGTACTTGTGTGTATTTCTGATAATGTTGTCTGTCTGCGTTCCTAGAAAACAATCCATCCATCTGATTTGTTTACAATAACAGTCCTCCCATAAAGATGTTAATATAGTCACAAACCATAAATGGTACTGTAACCTATATCAAGCAGCAAAGAAGTGACCTGTATTAAACACAATTCATATGAAATAATTAAATGAGGAGAATGTTTCCTTAAGTCCTACAGTAGGAAACGCAACGCTTCGTTGTCAGAAGATAAAGAATCAAGAGCAAGGTAAAAGTCAATACACAGTTGAAAGTAACGTTAGTACATAGTTAAGATAATGCAAAACATATGTTTACTTTAAGAGCTACACAGCAAGAAGTACTGTGTATCTTTTGTTTCTGAAGGCCATTGTTGTTAAAGATTCATTAAACCATGATTCAAAATGAGTAAACTGCTCCTATAGTTCCTTTGAATTGTTATTGCTGAATAAGGCTCTGTTCTTTAAAATGTTAAAGGGATAGTTCGGTAAAAAAAATGAAAATTGTGTCAGTAACCTGTATGATGTTCTTCTGTGGGACATAAAAAAATGAAGATATTTTGATAAATGAATTTATTTATTTTTTGTCCATACAATAGCAGTCAATGGGCCCCAAAACTGTTTGGTTACCATCATTCTTCGAAATATCCATTTTGTGTTCAGCAGAAGAAAGTAAGTAATACAGGTTTTTTTTTTTTTTTTTTACTTCAGACTTAGATTGGAGAAACAGGGTCTAGTGACCACACCTTTACAATCTCTGATGTAAATCTGTTGTATACTTATCTTAGGTCATAGTCCAAAGGGCATTTTTATTTCCTGTTTCTATGTCCCCATTCTAAAGAAGTGAAGAAAATTCAGGAATCTATATACCAGGATTAATTATTACGTACTAACTATTATTCCTTCATACAAGCAGATGTAAGTGTCGTAATTTCACCAATGTAACAAAAACACTTCCTCCTGTTTATCTTTGAAAACTACTCAAAACAGCTTCAACCCACTTTGGAAAGACTTCAACTGTGGTAAGAATGCACAATGGGCAATCCAACTAACTCCCTCACAGTGTGTGAGTCATCCTGAACACATGGTGAGTTTGGCATCTCTTAAAGGTGCTATGAGCGATTTGTTTTTGAAATACCACGCATAAAATGTCCTTACTACCTGACAGATACAGCTGCTCAGACTAAAAAAAAAAATTGAAAAAAAAAAGACTAGGGCTCCAAAAATTAAATATTTAGGAGTCAAATTATGTTTTAGTTGCCAAATTACAGAATCATTGGATACAGTTGGTTGTTCAGAGTGCTGTTGTCCACGCTTACAATTCTATTGCAGTGGTTGAGAATCTTCAGGGGGATACATACATTTTTTTTATATTTACATACACCAAATAAGTTCATTGAATAAATTAGTTTGAGTGTAGCTTCTTTGTTTACCTTTAAACCACCAGTCATGCTATGTTCTGAGATGGAGGGATGTTTTAGTTCTATAAAGTAATGTTTTTTTGGCTGTATTTCAATGTATTTGTTCCATATACGTTTGTTTTAATTAAAACTAGCAGAAATATTCTTATGAAAGTCAAATGTTGCATTGTTTATGGTTCCAATGTCACACATGCCACTCCCAAACAAAGTGCTCCTCAATTGGTTCAATCTTACAATTGAGCCTAACTATGCTAGACAATAACCTGATTTATTGAACCTGAAAATTTTTTTAGAAAAACATTGTGATTTATTACTGCCAAAATCTTTAAAATTGTATCTTAAATTGCACGCACAATCATTCAGCAAGTCTGATGTAAGTCTCACACATTTAAAGATATGTTACTGTAATGTAACATAACCAAAACACGATACTTGTTCAAAGTTGTGAAATCTGTAATGGCTTGATTACTGTCTGATTCAAATCACTAATTTGCTTGACCGTTTTGCCAATCTTTACTGATTGAATTGTTAAAAAGAATCAGCTCATTTGATGGCAAATATCATTCGTTGTGGCATCCAACAAGCACAACACAGCAAATAGATACAGAATAGTAATACTAGGACACACTCGTAACTATTTTTCTTTACTGTAATACATTTTGGATGTTTGAGTTTGTCTAGTCTTTGAAGGGTGGGGTTTTGGAGAAAGGGCAGATTGTTGAAAGAATGTGTGTGGCATAATTCGCAGCGAGTGTGGTGGAAGTTAGCAGAATTACTGAAATCGCTTACAGCATCTTAAATTCATCCTCGTTTAAAGGTCACAACTAAGAGCAGTAGTGGATGATTACACATTTGTTTCACAAATCAATACAGCAACATAATGCTGTTGTGTGGCAACACAATCATCGCCACAAGGGGCAGCAGTCAACTCATTAAAGGCAAATTATAATTCTTAAAGGGATAGTTCACCCCAAAATGAAAATTCTGTCAGTCATTACTCACCCTCATGTTGTTCCAATCCCGTAAGACTTTCGTTTATCTTCGGAACACAAATTAAGATATTTTTGATTAAATCTGAGAGCTGTCTCACTCCTTCATAGGCTTCTCTGTAATTGAAACTTGCCAGCCCAGAAAGTTAGTAAAGACAATGTTTAAAATAGTCCAAGTGACTACAGTGGCTCAACCTTAAGTTTATCAAGCGACGAGAATACTTTTTGCAAAAAAAAACAAAAATATTTTATTCAACTATTCATTTTCTTCTGTGTGCGTGGGTGGGCCTCTCACGTGAGTTCAAGTAGTGTAGCAGCGCAGCGCTTGGGTTGTACGCCAGAACGTAGGCTCACTACGGCCAATAGTGAGCCTACCCAGACAGCAACTTTGCCTCGGCCCAGATCTGGGCCGTGTGGAATCCACGTGTACCGGATGTGGGCCGACACTATGTTGCTGTCTGGGTACGTTCTGACATACAACTCTCAGATTTAATCAAAAATGTCTTATGGGGTTGGAACAACATGAGGGTGAGTAATTACTGACAGAATTTTCATTTTTGGGTGAACTATCCCTTTAAGATGGTAATTATACTTATGTAAGATGTTATGTGTAATACAATACATTTGTATTAAAATGCCCCTATTATGGTTTTTCGAATATTATCTTTCATGCAGGGTGTAATATAGCTGTTTGTGAATGTAAACGTTCTGTAAAGTTGAAAGTGCACAATGAATATTGTCTCCCAAAAGAAAGAGTCGACTCTGAACCGCCTTTAAGAGTAGTTTTTAATTCGAATCCTACTGCTTTACGGTTCTACATCAGTATAAAACATTTGCATAATGCCCGCCTATGTTGTACGTTGTCCGCCCGCGAACAACTTGACCAGCCCACAAACGTCTTCTCTGCTTCTCAAATCTCGGAGTTCAATGCGGGATTCATATTTGGACCAACTTGCTCCTCAGAATCACAATCTGTTAGTATGAATAATTATTTATGTATATAATATATTTTCTACCGGGTGTTCCGTTTCTGGCTAACCGGCTAACTCATGTCATCACTGCCTTACTGAAATACTTCTACTAATCAGCTGTGGGCCACTATTACCTAAAACTGTGTCTATTAATGCAGATTGTCTGTCGCTCTTACTACTTTGAGTAAAGATAAAGGATGGAGCAAGATTTGTTTTAAAACGTTTGTTACATCAGTCATTCACGTTAGCGCTGGTTGAACATTTGCCCCATTGATAGTTCCCACATGTGCACCGCAATAAATTACAAATGTGTATCGGTTTTTTGTTGGACATACATTTGTTAATGCTGATGGTGAGGATTTACAGTTGCAACATCTCGTAATGTTCACCTAAAAATTATTAGCGCATCACCGAGAAACGTCCTGCTCGAGTCGTCCTTGTGATGGAGGTTCAGTTTAAATAGCTAGGATTGATATGGTAAAATCGTTACTGTCTTTACAGTGGAACTGCAGTTCAGTTATGGCAATGGGAGCATAGACTGTAAAAAGAATGGGACTTAGCTTCCGAAACACGCGCTCGCGCTGTACACGGTAGGCCAATCACAACAGACTGGGCCATCTGGCCAATCAGAGCAGAGTAGGCTCTCAGAAAGGAGGGATTTAGAGACTGATTCATCTAACGAGTCATTTGAGAATCTCTGAACAATGTGGTGATGTGCAGTGTATATTATGAGAAAATGAAACCGCTTTTTGACATTTGATGCATGTAAACCTGTTGTAGGAGACCTCCAAAACAAAATTGGGAACCTTTAAAGTCCCCATGAATTCAAAATTGACCATACTTACTTTGTTTGCCTAAATTGATCGTTTTGTGGTGAACAATTCATCCATGCAAGTCAATCCACACAAAAAATTTTTTTGGCTTCGTAATCTTTAATCAAAATCTGAAATTTCCCCTCCCCTCTGCGTTGGAGGACCTTGCCTGATGACGTAGGTTTCACGGTTTGGGCGTCTTCTTAACATCCGTAATCACGCCCCTCCAACTGACAGTAGACAGGCTGAATGAAAACACCTACTTTTCTAGATCCAATCAGGTGCTAGTTGGGGAAAAAGCCACGCCCACCATTTTGCCTCATTTAGTATTCCGTTTCTCTCGGAAATACGTCACAACACTGGAGAAAAGTCGCTTGCAACTTCCGGTTCACGGGGACTTTAAAATAGCATAATAGGGGCAATGTTGTGTGGTTTTCTAATGGACCCTGAGTCTGACAATAAAAGTTGAATTGAATTGAATTTAAGCCCCACAGACTCCTCTTGATATTTTAGCCCGTTTTGTGACGCTTCAGTTAATCTTCAGTTACACAGATGAAGTAATAATGCGGTCAGAGCATGACAGTGCTGATACCTCTTTCTTTTTACTGTAGCTCAATTCTAAATGCAAAACGATCATTGATCACTCATTTGTGCTTAAATAACTTCATAACAAACACTAACAGACAAAACAGCCTGATTATGGCACATTGTATCACACAAATAATTCAAACATATATGGGGCCCTATTTTAACGATCTGAAACGCAAGTGTCAAAGCGCAAGTAACTTTATGGGCGGATCCCGGCGCTGTTGCTATTTTCCCCGCGGGATAAATGCCTCTTGCGCCTGGCGCAAATCTAAAAGGGGTTGGTCTGAAGTAGCTTCATTATTCATAGGTGTGGTTTGGGCGTAACATGAAATAAACCAATCAGAGCGTCATCTCACATTCCCTTTAAGAGCAGGTGCGCATGTTGCATGGCGGATTGCTATTAAAACGGCGGATTTACCAGGCGCGCGCCAGGAGCAGTTCACAGCCGAGGAGACCGACGTTCTTGTCAGGACCGTGAAAGACAGAGAAGTGACGTTGTATGGGGATGGGAGAAACCCACCCAAATCAGCGTCGGTTAAACAGGCGTGGGAGGAAAAAAACTAATTTTTTTACATCTTCAGGGACACCACAATGATTTCCCTCATGTGTTAATATTTTTCCTTCTTATAATGTATGATTTGCAAAAATAAAAACTGCTGCATCTGTGTTGATGAGAGAATCAAAGTGTATGCGTGTTGTGCACTCGCTACATTATGGCCAAGCATGCGCGCTTAAAATAGCATTATGAACAATGCGCCACTGACTTTAGACTAGGTTTTTTCTGGTCAGTGGCGCAATTGTTTTATAGAACAGCAAAATAGCATGAGGGAACGTTTGCGCCGGAACACGCCTCCTCTTTGCGCTGAACCGCCCCGGGGTGCGCAAGTGTATTTCTTAGTTAACCGACGTGTGTCTGTGGAGGGAAAAGCCCGCTTTGCGCGGGTGCAAAATAGGAATGATACATGCGTCAGTGTACAAAGTCATTTGCGCCGGGTGCAAGATAGGGCCCTTGGTCTAAAATACCAAAAGCACTACATTTTCCTGAAGAACTGACGCTGTCTGGCAGCAAGCCATCCACCCTCTGCTGCTGTGCTTTTGCAAAGGACTGAAGATACCAAAAATGTGGCGTTTCCCAGCATGCAAGGACACACTGCCATACACAGCAACATCACTACAGGAACACTGCAATTAATAACCACCCACCTCTACGCTCTAATTAAGCTTTCATATCAACCTGCCTCTGTGTAATTACAGTCCCTGCACTTCTTATACATTAATTCCTAATCGGACTGTTTTGCTTCACAAGGTTGACCATGAAAGAAGAGAGAGTATTTACGGCCATGAGACAGTGAATTGTTACATTATTTTTCTAAGAAGCAATAAAAGTCCACATAATGGACTAATATAGTGGATCAAACCTGAAGCAGTCTTGCATTAAATGAGTAAATCAATTTATTTTTATATTTAAATGTATGATTGTTGTTTTACCAGTGATTGACATTTGTATTTATTTGTGTTGTCAGGTCTATTTATTGACAAGACGCTAGTGTGAGATATGTTTATCTTATTAGGAACTACATCAACAATACATCTACTTGGGCATTTTGACAAACAATGATGCATGGAATTGACTTGAGTTTATTGTAGCTGGAAGCATCTGCATTTATGTTGTTATTTAGTGTGTCATTTTATCTTACACCTTCAACCCTATGTTTATTCAGTTAGGGTAAGGATAGTCAAATCTAGCCTAAACCATAAAGTACTCTCACCGGTCCACTGGTTGAAGTTCTTCAGGAATGACGTAGAAAACTCCCTTGTGATTGTTGTTTTTTGAGACTCAGTTTGTAGTTCTAAATAAAGTCCCACAGGAGGCAATCGTAACAATAAAAACACTTATTTTGCTGTTTAGAGCTTGATTATAGAGCTCTTAGCTGATTTTAAGTTTGTTTGTTTTTTGCATTAACTTGTATTGTAACCAATAAAATAAGTGTTTTTATTGTTACAATTGCCTCCTGTGGAACTTATACAAAGTGAGCCTCAGAAAAGAACAACCACAAAGGGAGTCTTCTATGTCATTTCTGAACTTCAACCTGCGGGTGGGTGGGTACTTTATGGTTTAGGGTAGATTTGACTATCTTTACCCTACCTGAATGGTTAAAGATGTAGATAAAAAGACACACAAAATTAAAATTTACTTGCAAAGAGTATGTTTCGGGCCTTGCTACACTGGACTGGGCACCTTTGACGACCCACAATGAAACAAAAGTTGTCTGTTAGTTTCTTCCAGGAAGTAGATCTAGTCTTCGAGGGATGGATTCAAATGTTTTTTAGTTACATTAGTGTTTGAGATTGTGATGATATACGTCATGTCGTCAAAAATGTATAAGCATGGTAAGACTAGAATGCATACTGCCAATTAAGTGCCCTTCATTCAGCTAAATATTAAATATTTTATGAATATGAGCTAGGGGGACTGTAATATTGACATTTTATGATTCAGTCAAACATATGCCAAAGAAAAATAACCGACCAATGGTAAATGGTATTAGGCCTACTACATCTCTTGTAGTTTTTGTACATTTTACATTGCTATCCACCTCATTTTAATGTAAGAGCAGCTGTGGCCATTTAAACTTTAATGTGCAAGGTTTCTGGTGTCAGCCGCTTCCAGTTATAGGCTACAAAAACGGGTAGTTATGCTGCTTTATTAGTTTTTAAAAAATAGTTTTACTGTTTACTGCACTTACGTATACTTCTAGTTATTTAGGCTACCTTTAATCGAACGCACATATGCTATAGGAAATAGCTTGCTTCCATGTTAAAAGATAAAGGGGGTAGGCCAATATTCAAATTAACTCTGATGTGTTATTATAAAACGTGTAGCCTACACAACAAACTAGTAATTAGATTTCAATAATATGTTTTATCTGTAACACAATTTTTGTTCATTCGTTTCATTATAAAAGCTTACTTTTGCTAAGCCAAATCCTTTCATTCCAAACATCAGCTCTCGGTTCATTTCGCCTGATAGATCATATGATCATATAGGCTATCCTAAGTTGTTGGCTTCAAATTGTTCAAACCGGTTTTGGGGAACAATTCCGACTCCAAAAACGGTGTGTGCACGTTCAGACATCTCTACGCGGAAACACACCACAGCTGTCAGTTCATACAGCAAGAGCGAGACGTCGTTCTAGTCTTGTCGCGTCGCATGCTCGGGCTATGTTTGTCACTTCTCTCGACGTCGAAGGAGAAAATCTCGCGTGACTGGCTGCTTTCTCTCTCCACCTCCACTAACACACACACACACCACTTACCAGCAACTCTCTCTTCCTTCTCCCCCACCTCCTCTCTATCTCTCTCTCTCTCTCCCCCTTTGAGTGAGCGAGAGATCTCCCGAAACCTGAGCGAGGCGGTCCCGGAGACACCAGAGAGGCGATATCCTCGTAAAGCGCAACATGGCTACAATTGTAACCTCCACCAGGTTTACAGACGAATATCAGCTGTACGAAGAGCTCGGAAAGTAAGCGACCGCACCGCTGCATTTGTGTGACCCGCTACACACACACACACACACACACACACACTCACTCTCTTCACTCACTGCATTGTCTCATCGTGTTGCCTGTGTCTAGTTCGGTGTTGACAGCAGCCTTCACACACAGCCGTATCGGTTTTGCATGTGAAAAGCCAGTGCAGCCCGGTAACGGAAGCCCGATTGAGTCGATTTGAACAAGTCGGTGTGATTATTAAGCCTCGTCGTTCACAAAGCTCGTTTCTTTGTTTATCTTTAGATGCGTTTCCTAACATCGTGCTCGCGCGCCACAGGGTGCTTGCGGAGCCTGCGTGTTGTCGTGATGCAATATGCAATAGTTTAGAGACACTTTATCGACATGCGAACGGACATTCGTTAGAAAGGGAAATCCTTTAGTGTGAGGTGATCTGCATCCGTGTTTTGAATGCACACCTAAACTTTTACAGCATTCAGTAGCATTGATCGGATATCACCGATGACTCCTGCCGCGCAGGGTGATAGTATATAGGCTACGGTTTGCTGCAGACTTGTGTAACGATAGTTATGGAAAATACTGCTGTTTTGGGCGTCATATATCGCAGAGTCATTGGGCGGTCGGTTACGTTTGTTGTCCAGTCGCCAAAAACATCACCGTGAGAATGAAGGAAGGGAAGTGAATTAGCGTTGTCCAATCGTAAACGAAATATTTCTGTGGTGTAGGATTGTTTTAATGAACCAGTTGAACCTGTATAGAAAACCGGCCTGCACGATTGTTCGTGAATCGTATTGAATCTATTTGAGCTAGCTGTTCTCGAGTCAACAACTCATGCAAATAAATTACTTGAATAGTCGCATAGCAGATATTACACACAAAACATAGGCTACCAGAAAAGGTTTTCGTTTTGATTGTCTATGACAGTTTTATCTACACATACAAAACCGACTTGGCTTTAATAAAACCTGTATAGCTTTGTAAATAAACACAGCAAATAGGGCCTAAAACTTAATTTACAAAAAAAATATATGACTGACCTATTAAAACGTTTTAGAACATGATGAGATAAAGACCTGCTGAATATTTTTTTGAAACTTTTAGAAAGAACAGATCTGTGGAAATAATTCAGATTTCCCATCACTGTATTAAGTGTTACATATCATCAGCTATTTACCAGCAACCAAACGCATCAGAACAGAATGAAAGAAGTGAATTTGCGTTGTCCGGTTCATTTATCATATCAAAAACTGACTGTCTCATTAATCCGAACCCATGAGCTACTAGACCATTTGGATTTACGTAGCATAAAAATTGCTTTATAAAAACTGCTGAATAGCAGAAATCTTACTAAAACATACTGGAAATATGTTTACGATTAAATTGTATGAAAGTTTTGGCAGTTGGTTTTATGAAATAGAAGAAACTTGGAAGTGCCCTCAGAACACATTGAAGACATTAGGGTCCACATGAGGATGCAAGGTCCTGCTGAATTGCTTTTTACCTGTTAAACAAACTGATAGAAAGAACTTAGCTGTGGAAATGATTTAGATTTTCCATCAGTATATATCACACATGGTAGCTTTTGTTGACAGTTGTTAACCAGCCACCAAAAACACAGCATGCACTGAAAGGAAGTGAATATGATAACGTAGTAATTGCTTTAGTGCTGTTTTGTTTGTGAAATGTACAAATTAGCATTTGACATGCAATTCTTGCTGTTGTGGCACATAACTATAAAGCTGCTGTTTTTCCTTATACCATGCATTAGATCCTTATGACAGATATCACTGTAATTGGTGTTCTGAGAAATCACATTTGTCTCTGTAAACAGGAAAACAAAAATGTACATGCCTGTTCATGCTAGCCAATCAGACCAGTTGGAGGCGGCTCTGTGCCAATGGTGGCAGTTTTGGCCTGGGCTACATTTTTATCCGACCTAAGCTGCGTTCACTCTATAAACGACTTTATTGCTGCATGTCGCCAGTGGCTGGTGGTGAGGTCGCTAGTGGGCGTTCCCACTACAGGTTGCCTAGTAACGTTTGTGAATGACATTCACAGATGTTACTCCATTTTGTAGACAGCGAATCGGTTTTTTTGCCGCTACAAACAAACATTTTGGAACGAACAGACTAAATATAAATGGAATCAATCAGTACATAAAATGCTTATTAAAGATGAACAAGAAACAGCGAGCGCTCCTTGCCATCCCGCCTATTTATCTGTGGCACAAGTGCTGGTCTATCTGGTTTCATGAAACCATTCAGGCCCCGAGTCATCATGGCAAGTAGCCTACCACCATATGTACACGGAGACATATCATAAATTATAGTAAAGTTACTGACCTCTAAAATTAGTTTCCCCTCCATCTTGCCTCGACACTCCACTACAGGATGTATTGGCGGATCACGTGCCCTCCACTCCTATTGTTTGTTGTTCCCGAAAGTCACTCTACATTTGCATAAAGTTACATTTATGCTGCATTCATGCCATGTCGTAATTACCATAGTCTTAAGATGTCAACACGTGACACACTTTGCACATCCTCAGACTGGGAATTATGCGTTTCTATGGCACCACTATCATCAATGCCTAAATGAATCTGCAGCGGTCAAGTGGTACAAATAGGAGATCTCAGATAATTCCCATCTTACAAGCTGTAATTACGAGCTCTACGAGGACATGACCGCTTTTTAAAAGTTGAAATCACGTAATTGCAGTAATTACGACATGGCATGAACGCACCTATAGCTCACATTTGTGGCGTCGCTGGACACACTCTGTCGTAGCCCTTCATCCTGTCACCAACAGTCACTGTCACTTGTTTAGCCGGAAATCGCCAGCTCTGTATTAAAATGAATGAGATTTCCACATCATGACTGACAGCAACTGTTAAGCTGAACAGAGCTTACTAGAAACTAACTTCTTGTTCTTAACATACAGCGACTCCACGGCTTCCCGCGATTTAAATACTGTCAGTGTGAATGCATCATAATGGGTTAGGGTTTAAAGAGTCAGTTCACCCAAAAATGAAAATTCTGTCATTTATTACTGTTTTATTACAAATTAAGATATTTTTGATGAAATCCGAGAGCTTTCTGACCCTCCATAGACTGCAACGTAATTGCCTCTTTCAAGGCCCAGAAAGGTAGTAAAGACATCGTTAAAATAGTCCATGTGACTACAGTTGCTACGAGAGTACTTTTTGTGCGCAAAAAAAAACCCAACAAAAATAATGACATTATTCAACAATTGCATGGAAGCTCTTGGATTTCATCAAAAATATCTTAATTTGTGTTCCGAAAATGAACGAAGGTCTTGACTTACGGGTTTGGAACGACAGCATCTTTCTCCATTCAAAAGTAGCTGTGTTTTATGAGTACATTTTTTCAGCCAAAATTTAAATTGTAAATATTTCAGTATATTGTAGTAGATGTTCAACCAGTGCCGAATCATTTTCAGAGAGCTCTTTAAAAGCCAGAAATAGACTCATATATTTCCCCTGTTTGCTACCGTTCACGACGTCACAGCTCACGATAGTTGCCTATGAGAAAATATGACATTTCTGCAAGTATGTGTTCTGCATTAATCATTAAAAGCAGCTTTAATTATCTTATGCGGCCATCACATGCAACAGCAGTTTTCCTCATTGGACAGTCATTGGTCTCTAAATAATATTTTTTTTAAGATTATTGGAATAGCATAGAATGAAAGTGGCACATTTAATGCTGCATTTTTATTGCCAGTAAAAAAAAAAAAAAAAAAAATCAAATAATTTTTCCTGATTTTCTGTCCAATAGAGTGTGACAGTTGGGTCCTGAAGGGGAATTGATCAGTTCTCTATAGGGGAATTGATGACGATAATTTATACACCTTTAAAGACAAACATTATGTGAGCTACAAGGTAAATGCTTTTGTTGAAGCCATCAGACCTCTTTATTTAAAATTATTTTTTAAATAATAGTTTAACAGTGGAATTCCTGGTGAAAAACTAGATTACCCTAGCCTGGGAAAACCCAGACAACTTCCGGCAAATTTAGATTTGCTCTGAAAGTTAGTCTGGCAAAGAGCTCATTCAAGCCCATTTCCAATCCGTCGAAATCGCGGCACCAATCAGAAACGTTGGGGCGGTCTTTACACGATGACGACAGCGCTGGGATTTTGAAGCAGATTTTGTAGCCTACATTACAAAGATGGATGCCGCCGTCGAACATCACTTGTTCGAATCAGCTATCGCGTCTGTTTTAAGCGATTTGAACGTTTCCTTTTTGGTAAAAACCGAGCAAAGAACAACACTCGGTTTCTCCGCCGCTCTGCATACGTCATCTCCTTCATCGCTCTGATTGGTTTTAGGTCTATCCGCGACGTCCGTTGGTGACGCCCCTCTGGAAATGATTTGTTTATGACGCTTTGCCAGACCATAACTCAGTTACAACTGAGAATGGTCTGGTTTTAACCAGGCTATCAAAACAAGCAAATCACACAGAAAGAACACTTTAGAGCCCGCCCACTCCCATGAAGCACCACAAATGATGTTATAGAGTCACTCTCCCTACACTCTCAAGCTACTTCAAATATTTGTATGCATTATATGCATATTTTGCAATAAACTTGAAATATGTTGTTTATATGTACATTATCGTTAAGTACACAGTCTTGTATCTTTGTCTTTTTGTCCGGTTTTCAATTTTTGCTTTAAATTAAGGTTGTTAGGTTGAAGTAATGAAGACTTGAAGACTTCAGGTGCAAAAGTCCGTCTGACATTTTTCTTTTAAATGAGCATTTTCATTAGGCTCCTATGTTTAGGTTCAGTAATTTCACTTTAATGGCAATGAAAAGGTTATTAGTCAGTTTAATGAAATGCCTTATTTTCAAAATTTTCACTGATAAAATTAAAAACATAAAAATACTAATTTAAATGAAAAATGTCAGATGGACTTAGATGTTTTTGCTTTACTTTAAAAAAAAAAAAACCATTGGGAAATATTTATGTGAAAGAAATACTTTTTGAAACCAATCCCGCTGCAAAAGTGGCCGGGCACTGTTAGCTTCATTTGTAACATTAATATTGTGGCTTTTTGCTTGAATTGAATTCCTGTCTAGCTTGATTGTGCTGTGCTTCTTTTAAACAGGGGAGCCTTCTCTGTTGTTCGGCGATGTGTAAAGAAATCAACCGGCCAGGAATATGCTGCTAAGATCATCAACACAAAAAAGTTGTCAGCAAGAGGTAAGGTTTTTCTTTTGCTGTCCTAGTTGGGCTAATGCATTTTGATCTGCCTTAATTTTGATCAAATATTACATCTTCTATTTGTCTCAATACACCATCATTTTTAACTTGGTTTTTCTCTTCAATTTAACCAGATATGCATTATTTGTGATTTAACACACTGTCAGACCTATGGTCTAAGCCACTATGGTAAGACTGTGTCTTAAGAACTACAGTAGTTAGTTAGACCAACTAACAGAGGGGTGAGTTGTACTTTTCCCATTCAAAATAGACCAATCTACCTTTTTATGTAACTGACTTGAAATAGCTAGGACCAGTCTTGAAGAAAAAAATTAGATGACTAACAAAATTAGTCTAAGGTGTTTATGTAACTGGTGACTAACTGGTCACTTATGCCTGATTGTCCTTTTTTTGAGTGGCAGACACTGCTGTCTGATTGTACTTTGAGCAAATGCTAATTTGAGGTACATTAACCTACCACAAACGCTTAACAGGGAGCACAGAAATGAAATATTAGTCCTCCCATTCTGCATCAAGCAAACTGAACAATATTGGTAATTTGTCTCACTTTGGATGGGTCTGTGCTGTGCTCTCAAATGTGTACCAGCTAATGCAGTGAACCTGTTGATGCTACTTCTTTCATTCATTCTTTCTCTATCTCAGTTGAGTCACTAATCACTGTCAGCATCATCAGTGCTAATTATGCTGTTGGTGAAGTGGGTAGGGATATATGAGCCTCAGCCACTGTTTCACCTGCATCACAAACAAAAGCAGCAGATCTATTTCGGGAAGCAGACACTTTGTGTACCTGTCTTCAAATGGTATCAGGTTGGGCTGTCTAGGTTTGAATTAAATTAAATTAATTTTAATTAAATTGCTCGTATGGATTGTCAGCATGGGAATGATTACGCAGAAGTGGCAGCAAAGATTGATCATGATAACAAAGTAATTGCATTAACTTTGTGTGAACTCTTAGTTTTTGGTCGATACTAATTTTAACAAACATCTATTCCGATTCCAATACCAATATTTGTCACTTGCTCACTAATTTTGTCATTAAAATAGATGACTGTTTTGATCATGTTTTGAATTAGCAAAGTTTAAAAACACATACATTAATAGGATGAGGATATATTATTGATGCATTATCAAATTGTTTCCGTTGAACATGGATTGGATCCATTTAACATTCAGCAGGCCAACATTATAAGAGAGGCACAAAATAAGAAAGACAACATACAGATAAGATATTTTCTGTCAAATATTTCTTAACAGCATGAACTTATTTTGGACTTATTATTATAGAACATTACATTTTTCTTTAATGAACTCATTAAATAATGAGTTTATTGCTGTTGCTTTATATATTATATTATTCAGAAAGAGATTGACTGCTTTTTACCCACTAAAGTGAGTCTGACAAATTATACAGGGCTCAATTCTAAGGATTTTTTCTAGCACAAACAAATAAATACAATAGAACAAAGATACAAATTATATAAATTATTATATTATATTATAAATGAGATTTGTCAGGTCTAACAGTAGTTTTCAGGACAGGTACAGAAATTGAATAAAGTAATCAAATGTAAAATATCACTGCATATTCCTCACTGTATAAACATTAATGTTACAAAAGTGAATCAGTCAAGAGCAGTTGTTTTTTGCCGTTCGATTAAAAGCACAGACAGCAGCGCAGCATTAGGCTGTTGCCACTTTAAGACCAAATTCATTCTGTCCGAATGAAATGGTACCATGTGTTCCCTGTCAGTCAACGTGTGTTTGCATACCACTGCGCAGCCTGTTCACGCACATCATACGTCATCTGCGCGATTCACGTACACTGTGCAGACAGAGCGAGAATGGCTGGCAAACAACCTATCTTTCATTCTGAACCGACAAAAAGTCGGTTGTCTTTGACTTTGTCCTATGCAGATAATTCAGTGAGATCCGACTGTTGCCGCTAGGTCCTGAAATCGCATATGAATAAAGCTGAAATACAGTGCATTCTTTCCTTTTATGTCAACAGGTCAACTTCTGAACTGGAGTCATTTCACAATCACATACTTATGTGCAAGCATGTGCTTCTGTATCTCCACTCATTGTACTGTGAGCGCAGCGGTCCAAATGTGTGTCTTGCACGTTTACATTGAAAAACAATGGAATGAAAAAATGCATTCTGTGTGAATAGCCCCTGACAGGGTTTAAAAAAAAAATTTTTTTGGTTACGGTCACTGTAAACATGGTCTCATGTAAAAGAAGGTTCCCTTCAGCATTTGTTGCTGTTTTAGGGTGAACGTGTAAGTGGACGCATGGCCTGAGCTGGAGAAATTATTGTTCTCTCTGTAGACCTTCAAGTTGAATTACAACAGATTCTGTTCTCATTGTATGCATTTGTGTGCGCTACGGTCCCCATGGATGACGAGTAAACAACAGATTTATTTAAAAGATCCTTGGACAAAAAGCAACAGGTAATTAGATCAGCATAGTTTGGCGACTCTCATAAGCTTCTTTTCAAGGAACCTGGCAACTGTTATTCTTCAAACTCTTTATCATGCTGGCTGGCACTGTATTAAAAAGCAACCGTGCTATTCATCCGGTGGAGCCCACACAAGTGCCAAAGCCCCCTCCCACGAAATCTCCCCATTCCCTTGGCCTTAATCAAAGCCCAGAGAGATCTCTCGACATGCCAACCTGTTAACAGACACGTATAAGTTATTATCATCTCTGAGTCATCTTGCAAAGGCCAGGACAGTCTGCAATTGCTCAGTCAAATGTTGTTTATGTCTTATAGTATTGAGAGTGCCACAGTATGATTTTTGTTTAATGGTAGTGCTCCAAATGGCGTGTTAGATTCTTATTGATATATTCTACGTATTATATTGAATTCATTTGAATGTGATGCTTAAATATTTTGTACCTGTAAAATTCAGATTAATCCAGTGAAATTCAAAGGTAAATATTATGTAAATGTAGAGCAAAGTAACTGAGAACAAATAACATGAACTTGTTCCTTGTTGCTCTCATCTCATGCCCCATCTTTTTACTTTTGCTGTGAAACTATTAAAGGATCATGAACTGATAATGAACAATACTTAATGTTAATTTCTACATGTGCTAAACCATTTTTTTTATGTTTTAAGTATAATTTAACATTAATTTCTAAAGTTAGTTTATGCCGCAAATTAAATGCTGCAAAAATTGTTCATTGTTGTTTCATTAAACCTAATGCATTAAAGTCACTATGTAATGGAAGCAGCTACAGATATTTTCTTTCGTATTGTCAGAAATGGTCTTCGGTGGTGGCGAAGTCATCCACACACAGTACACGAAAAATAATCAATTTAATCCATATTTTCATTATTTTTCACTAAAATTATTTGAGACCCCTCCAGTCCCCCTGTTGAAGACCTCAGATGTAACATTATTCCTACACATCTCACATTATCTAGTCTCGTGTATATTTCATTTAGCCAAGGCTGCAAAGTCGACTCCGTGTTACAAATATGTTAGACCTATCACTTCTGCCACTAAAGATTGCTTTATTAATAATCTTCCTGATCAGTTTCATCTCCTCAGCATCTTTTCCAGCACTTTAGACACAGTTGCTCCTTTGCGCTTAAAGAAGATTAAAGAAAATAGTCCAACGCCGTGGTACAACGAGCACACTCAGGCCCTTAAGAGAGCAGCCAGAAAAATTGAGCGCAACTGGAAGAAAACAAAACTAGAGTTTTTTTCGCATTTCATGGAAAGAGAGCACAGTTGCGTACAGAGAGGCCTTAAAAGCTGCTAGATCTGCTTATTTTTCAACCCTATTAGAAGAAAATAAACAAAACCCTATTTATTTGAAACAGTGGCTAAATTAACGAAAAATAAAGCTTCAACCCCAGACGTTTCCAAGCAGCACAGCAGTAATGACTTTATGAACTTCTTTACTTACAAGTTTGATAATATCAGGAAGAAAATTATAACTATGCAACCGTCTACTACAGTCTCGCACCAGGCAGTGCATTATAGTCTCCCTGAGGAAAAATTTGATTCATTCATTGCTATAGGAGAGGAAGAATTTTCTAAACTCGTTAAATCATCTAAATCGACAACATGTATGTTAAACCCTATACCAACTAAGCTATTGGAAGAGATGCTTCAAGAGGTCATAGATCCTGAATCATGAATTAATCATGAATTAATCTTTGTCATTAGGATACGGACCAAAAACTTTTAAGCTGGCTATGATTAAACCGCTTGTTAAAAAAAGCAACTTGATCCTACAGAATTAGTCAATTACAGGCCGATCTCGAATCTACCTTTTCTGTCAAAGATACTAGAAAAGGCAGTATCCTCACAACTATGTTCCTTTTTAGAAAGAAATGGTATTTGCAAGGATTTTCAGTCAGGATTTAGACCGTACCATAGTACTGAGACCGCTCTCATCAGTCACAAATGATTTGCTCTTATCATCCGATCGTGGTTGTATCTCTCTATTAGTGTTACTCGATCTTAGTGCTGCATTTGATACCATTGACCACAACATTCTTTTAAATAGACTTTAAAATTATGTTGGCATTAGTGGAATTGCATTATCATGGTTTAAATCATACTTATCTCACCGTTGTCAGTTTGTAGCAGTAAATGAAGAGATGTCTAATCGATCAAAAGTTCAGTATGGCGTACCACAAGGCTCAGTACTAGGACCGTTGCTGTTCACTCTGTACATGCTACCCTTAGGAGATATCATTAGGAAGCATGGCACTAGTTTTCACTGTTATGCTGATGATACTCAGCTCTATATTTCTTCACGCCCTGACGAAACTTACCAATTCACAAAATTACCGGAATGCATAGCTGATATAAAAAAACTGTATGACTAGTAATTTCCTACTACTTAATTCTGAAAAAAAACAGAGATTTTAATTATTGGACAAAAAACTTCCTCACATACTAACCTAGAATACTGTCTAACACTTGATTGCTGCTCTGTCAAGTCTTCATCGTCGGTT